CTTAATGAATGAATCTGGTGTCAAAGATTAGGGAGCCCTCTGCCCTCTTGAAACTGAACTGGCCCCTATGGGGCCTTACCAGTGACAGACCCCTGTGTTCCGTTTCTTGCTTATAGAAAAAGCTTTAGTTTCCTAGACCTTCCTCAAGTTCCAAAAGCAGACTCAAGAAGTTAGTGATTAGAGAAGTGGAAAAGCAGGTACAAAGGAAAAGCAATCAAGCAGGAAAAGTAATAATAACTTAAATAATAGGTCAGATATAAAAGTCACAGAACTCCTTGAGGGATATGGATAACCTTCTCACCCACATTTTTAAGGTGTTTTTACAGAAACCAAGAGCCCACCAGATGGAAACTGCTGACCATGGACATATAGACCCTAAACTGGTAGCAGCCAGAAGACTGTGAGATTGAGATTCCTGAAAATCACCCTGTTACCTCACCACCGATGAATCAGAAAAATGTCCACGGGCTGATCACACACCCTGTGACCCTCACCCCCTAATGTTGCCTTTAAAAACCCTTTCCTGGACAACATTAGGGAGTTTGGGTCTTTTGAGCATTCATTGTCTGTTCTCCTTGCTTGGTACCCTGCAAATAAACACCATACTTTCCTTCACCACAACCTATTAACAGTAGATTGATTTTGTTTCATGTCAGGCAAGGAGACCTGAGTTCAGTTTGGTAACATTCTAGGGAGCACTGAGCTAAAAGTTCCTAAGGGCAGGATGAGATTCACTTGCTACTGGCCTGGCACTTAATATACGTGTGTGGAACGGAGGAGGTAAGGGATGCAGGTTATTTCTGAGGATGAGCACAGTATGTGTTCAATGGTGGTTTGTGGCTCTACTTCATGGTCCTCTGCAGCTCCCAGAGACCCAAGCCATTCCAGCTTGTCACTCCTTCCCTTCCTGCACTCTATCTAGGACCTGCCCTGAGGTGGGGTTTGGAGTGGCCCAAGAGGGGAAGGGAAAATTCATATCCTGAGCCACTGTTAAGTGTCCAAAGTGGGCCATCTTGTCTAATAAACCATGGGGTTGGAGCTTGGCAGAACCCTGAGCTGGCAAGAGGAGAGGAGCGAGAACAATCATTTCTGGGGGGCATCTTCACACTAACTAGGGGATATGAGGAGGGGCTGTGAGATTCCCTACCCAGAGAGGACTGGATTATAAACAAGATGCAGCCTCTCTCTTCCACTCCCACCCCCATACCACATCATGGTGATTTTATGGAATAAACTGATTGGAAGCGGGTTCCCACCTTGGTCAGGCTGCTCCCAGATCCCTCTTTTGTTTCTGCCCCATAGCATGGTGCTGAAAGAGCCCAGCCCCTAAAACTGAGGGCACGTGGATTCAAATCGTGGGTCTGTCACATGATGTCTATGTGATACTGGGCATATGACTTACTCTCTGCAGTCCTCTGTTTCCCCACCTGTAAAATGGGATGGGTAGTTACATGTTAATCTTGTCAAATGTTTAAAACCAGTTCATTGTCCTTTTTACAGTTCACTTTTCATGTCCCCTCTGCTCCCACGCTTTCCATGGCTCCCATAGTCCTCAGAGTAAAAACTCACACCCTTTCCGGTGAACCTGCCTAGTCCAACCCCCACCAACCTCCCTGGCTCCACTCCTCTGCATCTCCCTGTCACACCAGCCAGCCACGCATGGTCTTCTTTAGTCTTGGAACACACACAGCTTATTCTGGCCTCAGGGCCTTTGCATATGTTGCTTCCCCCACAGAAGATGCTCTTCCTTCTCCATGTGCTCTTCCTTTTGCTGTCCCATACTTGTGCTCAGGCCCTGACTCAAAAGCTATTTCCCCCAGAAAGTCCTCCTAGATCTTTTCAGGTCAGGTTGAGACATCCCTGTTCCATGCACAGATCCCTGTTTACCTCAAATGTGTAGACCTCCACAAACAGGCAACAATTTGAAGTCCTTCTCTATTACTACCATAATACAAGGCTCATGGGTAAGGGGATATGTTTTTCCTTCCACAGACCTCACCCAGGAAAACTGAGGCTCCATTGCTGGGAGGTGGCTTGAAGCAGGTCCAAGCATCTCTTTGAGGCAGAATCATGTTGTCTGGGCCTCATTGAACCTAAGCAATATAGTTCAAAGCAAAAACATTCAGCACCAGCTCTTTCTGCTCTGGGGGAGCAAATTGGAGCCATATCCTCCTCTCCAGAGACCTCTGCTGGTCCTCTGAAGAATTTCTATGTTCCTCCATCTGGAGTGCCTCCAGCCCCAACCTCTCCTTCCTGCCCATCCATGACTCTTTGGGAAGTCCTGTCTCGTTCTGTCTCCCCCAGCCTAGGGACCACTTGGGACCAGGCTGGGGTGAGGTTAGTACAGAGGATTTGGCTGAGGGTGTTTGTCAAATTAATGAATGCATCATCTGCTTGATGAACTCCTATGCATTCTTCAAAATCCCAGCCTCAATGTCCCCCTGTTTTTAAAAAGATTTACTTATTTATTTATTTCTTTATTTAATGGAGGTGTGAGGGTTGAACCCAGGACCTCCTGCAAGCTAGGCAGGTGCTCTACTACTGAGCTATTACCTACCCCCACTCAATATCCCTTTTTCCAGGACACCTTCCCTGTCTCCCACACAAAACCTTCATTCCCCCACTCCTGATTCTTCCAGCTCCAGGTCCACCTTCTACCCCAGCCCTGACTCCACTCCATCTGTGGCCAGCGGCTCTTCCTCCTGCAGACTAGGGTCTCCTTGGGGACTAGGACTGAGTCCTCTAGGGGGCACAGGAAAGTTGGCAGGAAGTGTTTACTGAATGGATGAATGAAAAAAATGAATGAATGAATGAATGAATGAATGCCTGTTGCAGGGTTTGGAGTCACATATCCTGGTTCACATATCAGCTGGATGCTGAATATTGAATCTGTCCCTTGACTCTCCAGATCTCCCTTCCCCTTTTATTAAATGAGATTACTCAAAGCCTGTGCCCCAACTTGTTGCAAGAATGAAATAAACTGACATACAAAGTGTATGGTCCTCAGGATCCCTCCTGTCCCAGACTGAGAGTGATTTGCACCCAGAATCAGTAGCTTTGTTCATCTCCCAGCACCCAGAATTAGAATATTATTAACACAAGTGCTTAATGAATGTGATGACCAGGGTTGGTGAGCCAGCTGGGGAAGAAGGAGAGAAAGGCAAATATTAAAATGGCTGAAAACTAAGTGTCACATGGGGTGGCACTCCCTCTTTCATGGACCACTTGAGAAAACAGCCTGGCCATTACTTATCACATGACTATACCATTCCAACCCTGGGGGTAAAAAGGGTATGTTCACCAGGAGACATACAAAAAGGTTCAAAACAGCTTTATCCACTGTAGTCCCAAACTGGAAATAACCCAAATGTCCATTAACAGGTAAAGTGGACAAATAGTGGCAAATTCGTACCTAACGGTTATAAGAAAGGAAAAGACACCAAGTGTTTGCAAGGATGTGGAGATATTGGAACACTATCAGTGGGAAGGTAAAATGTTATAGCTGCTATGGAAAACAGCCTGGAAGTTCATCAAAAGCTAAATGTAGACTTACCCTATGACCCAGCAATTCCACTCCTAGGTATAGACCCAAAAGCATCAAAAGCTGCTCAACAAAATCTTGCACATGCATGTTCATGGCAGCGCTATTCACAATAGCAAAAAGGTAGCAACAACCCAAACATCAACAACAGATGAATGGACTGTCAAAATGCAGTAGATCCACACATAGGGATAAAGTGGTCATACACGATACAACATGGATGCAGCTTGAAAACTTTATGCTGAGTGAAGGAAGCCAGGTAGCAATGGCCACATATTGTCTGAAATGTCCTAAACAGGCAAATCCATAGGGACACAAAGCAGATTAGTGGTTTCCAGTGGCTGGGAGGGAGGGAAATAGGAGTGACTGCTAATGGGCATGGGGTGTTCTTCTAACTATTCTGGAGCTAGATACTAGTGAGGGTCGTGCAACATCCTGAATGTCCTAAATATCATTGAATTATACACTTCAAAATGGTTAAAATGGTAAGTAATATGTTAGATTTATTTTACCACAATTTAAAAAGAAAACAAAAGGGCACACTGGAATACTATATAGCCATGAAAAGGAACAAGAGACTGCTCTGAACAATATGAGGAGCAAGAGAATCCAGAGCCAAGAATGGACACCTGCTGTTGATCCTATTTCTGTGAAGTTCCAAATCAACTAAAACTCACCTTGAGTGATGGAGGTTAAGGTAGTAGTCACCTTGAGGGAGGGCAGAGTCAACTAGAAGGTCCAAGGAACTGGCAGAGGTTGGGGATTTCCTTGATCCCAACCCAAGGGTTATCACCTCTAACAGCCTTCACTCCTGGCATGCATGAATCTGACCATGCCCATGTTAAATCTCAACAAATATGTTTAAAAGAAAAAAGAATTGCCACAGGAAGAAGACAAGAGCATCCAGCAGTCCTGAGAGCTGAGGGTTCTCTTTTCCCCACAAATGCCATCACCTGACCCCTCTGGGGCAGATGACTTGCAAACAGGCCAGGTGTGGATAAAGTCAGGAGGGCAATGACCAGGGTCTGATGCCTGGGATTTCAGAAATGGTCCCCAGATGCTTCTTTATCTCTTGGGAAATGCTTCCCACACTCTCCACACCAAAGACCCCAGACTGAGGACAGGAAACCTCAGGACTCCAGAACACTCAGAACATCAGCTCCCAGACTCCCTGGTAGAGACACATCTTGGCACTTCAGGGCCCTTTAAGGCCAACTAGAATGAACATTGACAATCATAACTCATAGCATTGGGAAGAAGAGCGAGCATAGACTTTATGCATAAGGTCCTGGGTTCCAGTCCTGATCCAATCAGTAAGTACATATGAATGAATGAATGGTGGATGGGTGAGTTTTTCACGCATTCCACAGCCCTTTATCACTCACTTTCCAGATGCCTAAACGCAAAAGGCCAGGACCCCAGAGAGACCTCAGCCTGGTCTGGCCTCCAACTGTCTCCTTTCCTGGTGGAGGAGATGGAACCTGACACAGACGCTCCCACTTCCATTATCAGAGCAATAATAGAAGAAATCACAGGTAGCCAGGAAATAGGGAAGGGAGCCAAGAGGGAGGGACTGGGATAGAGGAAGGATGCCAGGGTCAAAAAGACAGAGAGGAAGTGGAGCACTCAAACATTAGATGTTAGACAGCACGTGGCAAGCAACTGTTGCACACTGACCAGGGAGGAAGTTGGGCTGAACAGATAATGAAGGGCAGTGGGAGGCTGATCCTGCTTCCTGGATCCTTTCATTTGTATTGATTTGTTTTATATACCTCACTCCTAGGGGGAGATAGCCCAGCCCTTCCTGGGTATGGGCAACTGTCAAAAAGTTTGATGCAACATGATTTTTCAAGTAGTGGCCACTATGTGTAAAAAGGGCTAAATGTGATTGGAAAGGGAGGGGTGCACATGTGAGCCAGGCAGTCTGTGTCTGCCACAGGCTGGATCTGGAATGAGATCCACCAAGATTTGTATCTCTGCTCTGTCTCTTTATGGGCTTGGTGACTTCATCTCTCCAAGTCTGTTTCCTCTTCATTCCTCTGTAATGACCATAGTAACAGTGACGACTTCATAGGTTTATGCATGTATTCAATGAGCTAATGGAGTAAAACACCTGGCATACAGGAGGTGCAGAATAAATGTGCCCTGCTCCAGGCCCAGAGTGCTCTGGAATGTGTCCCAAATTCACATGTACTTTTCTACCTCTAATACTTTGCATTTGCTCTAACTTATGCCTCACATGTCCTTGCCCCATCACCACACCTGGCAAAATCCTACATCCCTCAAAGCCCTCAAAGATACCCTTCTTTTCTCTGTTTAAGCCCTGATCTAAGGAACTGGGGCCATCTCGGACCTGGTTCTGATTGGGCCCATTGTGATGTGATGTGAGTTTCCAGAGGGCAGAGACTCCGATTGGCATGTAGTAGTCATGCAATCAGAGCTTGTTGAATGAAAGAATGAATAAATGAGTGAATGAATGAGTGAATCAGTGGTCATTTGGTAGGGATGCCCAAAACGGCGACCCAAGACTCCATCAACCTCTCCATGCGGGTATGCCCATCTCCCATCACCTCAAAGGGCGGGAGGATGCACATAAAGAGGAGGGGCTTCCGGGCGGGGTCTTCAGCCCTTCCGGTCCGGCCCCTTTAAGGGGCGGGGACAGCAGGGCGGGCGCTCGGAGCGTCAGGGCGGTGCGAAGATGGCGGCGGCAGTGGAAGGGCCCGGGGCGGCGGAGACTCCCAGCTCGCTG